ATTACATTGACTTGGAGAAACTGGGTTGCTGTTCCTGTGGACAGTTTCACATTCTGCATTTATCTGACTGTCTCCTCGTGATGTCGTTTCTGCATCCCTCCCATTTCATGTGAACAGATATTTAGTTTTGAGACTTGATTAGATTCTAGGTTAACTTTTTGTGCAAAACTCCTCCCATGACAGCACAAGGCACATCCCAGTCTGCCTGCTGGGACTGACCAGTGGGCTCAGGTGCCTCCTCGAGGTTCATTCACCTCTCACTTGAACCGAAGTCCTCTGGCTGCTTCTGATGACTGCCTGCGTTTCTTCCAGAGGTCTCCATGAACACCATCTCAGAGGTGCTTGGGAGGAGGGTTCAGCTGAAGGGGCTGATTGGAAAGAGAGCCATGAAGTGCCCGTACTGTGATTTCTACTTCATGAAGAATGGCTCCGACCTTCAGCGGCACATTTGGGCTCACGAAGGTGAGTATCCGCCTTTCTGAGTAGAGGCCCTCTGAGTGTCGCGCTTGCATGCTTCATTTGGGAGTGAGTTAGGAGGAAGCCACGTCTTTGGGTGGTCTACAGTTAGAATTTCTTTAGCACGCTGAGAAGCATGTCCATCAATACACTGCAACCAGTGATTTAAATATTACAAATTTAGCTGCAGTTGCAGTGGTGAGAGGTGTGCGGTTCTTCATTACTGTGTAGTTAAATAAGTAAACAAATCACTGTGACTCTTGTACTAGGCAACAAGGATACATGGTCTCAGTTATAGCAGTAACTCTGGTACCTACAAGGGTGCACTGTGCCTGGTAGCTGCTGAGCAAGTGTTGATATTCTGAATGAATGGAGGCTGGAGGGACCTCAGAGCCCTATGATTCCCACAGTGGGAGGAATTCAGACATGGAAGAGTTGTGTGCAGATGAAGTAGTGGAAGGAGGAACGGAGGCTGTATGTTTGGGGTCTTGCTCGTGAAGGAAGTGTGGGGAGCACTCTCTGGGTCTTTGGAAAGTTGGAGGTCAGGATACAGTTAGAGTCTGCAGGCTGCCAGCTTTGTTTCCTCCCCCTGGGTAGGGATGTGGCTCCCTGGGTATGAGACATGGGCCCTCCTGTGAGGCAGGGACCTGGAGTACTGCAGGGGGAACAAGGCAGCTCCTGGCTGGGATGGAAGACTCAGTCTTATCCACAAATGGGATGAAAATGACCTGTTTTTAGGCCACAGAGAAGGGACTTTTAAGAAGAGAGGCTAACAGTTCAGTAAAGAGAACAGTAATGATGGAGTAGGAACCTGGACAAGGCAGGAAGAGCTGAGAGCAGAGCCCGGCTGGGAGATACTTTTCCTGTGCACCTCAGCCCTGGGCTCCTTGTTTCCTCAACCGCAAAAATCATAGGTAGTGTGGATGAGGGGTGAGGAGGGTGGGCTCACTACAGTTTGTCTGTTACGCCCCTGTGCTCAGCTTCGGGCACATTACACCCCCCCATGTCACACTCGGTTCTGGTGGCCTTTTTGCTCATCGAATTTCCCCCTGGACAGTGTAGCCAGGGCCAGACTTCCTAGCTTCAGATCATAGCTCAGTACAACGACAAAGCAGGTTCCGTCGCTGTCTGTTGAAGGGAGGAGGGCAGCTGGACGCCAAGGTGCCCCCCTCGTCCCAGTCACCACGAACTACACCCAGCGTTGTGAAGCTCTGCTGATTTTAGGAAGTAAAACGTGCTTTCACATCTGACCCTGGGCACCTGGCCCCACTGATTCTTGCCGAGGCCCTTGGTTGCTTTAATTTTGTTCAGTTTAACGCAGCTCAGTTGGATTTAATGAACATCTGATGAATAAACTGCTCAGGGTCTCTGTCCTCTAGGGTTCCCAGACTGTGGGGAGAGAGAAGCGGGTGTGGACAGCTCGCTGCAGTGCGCCGTGCGCAGGACAGCTAGCTGAGAGTTGCAGGATTTGGGCACATGGACAGGGAGGCAGGGAATCTGTCTGAGAAGATCAGAGAAGGCTGCAGAGTGGAGGCCTTGGTGCACCCAGGAGGAGAGGTGTCCAGCCAGGAGAGCAGTCTGGGGAAGAGCAAGGTGTGGAAAGTGTGCGGCGTGTTCAGGGGCAAGCATGTGCACAACTCTGTTTAAAATGGATGTGGACACACATAAGTAAATCTGTGAGCATGTGTGTATGTTTGTTTTTCTCTCTCCTGTTAGGTGTGAAACCCTTCAAATGTTCTCTCTGTGAGTATGCAACTCGTAGTAAGAGTAACCTCAAGGCTCATATGAATCGTCACAGCACTGAGAAAACCCACCTCTGTGACATGTGTGGCAAGAAATTCAAATCAAAAGGGACATTGAAAAGTCACAAGCTCCTTCACACTGCTGACGGTAAGTAAATGCTTCCAAAGTGAGTTTTTTCTCCTCTGAAAGTGTGGTTTGAAGGTGACACTCCGAGTCCAGCCGAAAATGTGGATGTCCTGGAGGCAAGTAAGGGCACGTGTCTTGTGGAATTTCTGTTCTGAGAGAGCAGCCACGGAGACCTCACGCCTCCTCATACCCTGTGCTCACTCAGTGCTGGAGCTATGCCCAATGCCACCAGGGCTTGATGAGTGCTCACTGTGTGTGCATGTGTGCATATGTGTGGGGGTGCACACGTGCATATTTCTGTATATGGGTATGTGTATGCATGCGTGTGCGCATGTATGCATATGCATGCATATGTGGATGCGTGTGCATACACATGTGCATATGTGTGTATAGTGTGGGTGGGCGTGGAAGGGTTCAGGGAATGAAGCATCCTCAGGAGGCCCTGACCTTCAGTTCTGGAAGTTGCAATTTCTCCAAGCCTCCATCCCCGCTGAGTCTGGGAATCTTGAGGGGTGTCCATGATCACCCTGGCTGGGTGTTCCCTGTGGATGCTCTTATCATCCAAGCTCTGCCAGGGTTTTCATGTTCAGTCCAAAATGGGGCTGAGTCTAAAATATGAACAATATCGGGGCAGATTTGACCTTGATAAAGTATTAAGTGGGTTTCTAATTTCATTCATTCATTAAGAACCATTGTTTGAGTTCTTACTAAATGCCAGCCGTGAAGGTAGGTTCTGGGGGCACAGGGTCCATAAGGAATGGCTCCTGCCTTCAGGGAGGTTATAGTCCAGTGGGAGGAGGAGGAGCGTGCTGCCTCGGTAAAGGTATGGAATGGAGGCGGGTGTGAGTCATGATGGGGGTGGGCAGTGGGTGGTGGTCACTGGCCAGGAAGGTCATCCTGAGAGGGGCTGGATAGGAAGACAGGCAACTAAACCATAAAGACTGTTAACATTTTTTATTTTCCTTTAAATTCTTCAAGGGACTTGTGAGTACTTTCTGTAATGAGATGAATAAACTGTTTATAAATATATTGTTACTTAGCATAAGTATATGCAAGAGCTGGAATTCATTATAAATATCAAAGTGATTTCAGGAAAGACTTAATTTCAGAACTTTGATGATGTGGCCGTTAGGTCCTACCTTTAAGAACATTCTGGGGGCTCCTTCCCATTGAGATGCACCCTCCTTGCCTGGTTTCATCCCTTCTCCGGTGCTCCTTTTGGGCTCTGATTTCTATAGCTTGGAAGGACAGGGCTCAGCCCGTAGACTCTTCTTTCTACACTCACACCCTTGGTGATCTGTCCATTCTACGACTTTAACCACGTATGTAGGAGTCTACAGACTACTATTTTAGCTCTGTGCTCTCCCCCAGCTCCAGCCCTGCCTCTACAACTGACCCTCAGTGTCTGCCCCTGCATGTCTAAAAGGCACCTCGGACTTAGCTTGTGCAGCGCTGAGCTCCTTGTCCCCCAAACACATCTCCTCGGGTCCAGGGGTCACCAAGCTCTGTAGAGAGAGAAAATAGCCCTAGTCGGTTTTGGTCAGTGGTTAGAGCATTGGCCTGCAGAGTGAAGGGTCCTGGGTTCGACTCAGGCCAAGGGCATCTACCTTGGTTACAGGCTTGATCCCCTGCCCGGGTCAGGGCATGTGAACAAGGCAACCAATTGATGTGTTTCTCTCATATCGATGTTTCTCTCTCTCTCTCTCTCTCTCCCTCTCTCCCTTCCACTCTCTCTGAAAAGCAATGGAAAAAATATCCTTGGGTGAGGATTACAAAGAAAAAGAGAGTAAATATTTTAGCTTTAGAGTGCCACATAGGGTTTCTGCTACATATTCTTGTTTTTTGTTTGTTTTTGTTTTTTGTTTTACAAACCTGTGGAAGCCTTCACTCTCAGCTGTACAAAAGCAGGCAGCAGGCTGGATGGGCCCCTGCCATGGTTTGACAGCCACTGCTGTGCCCCAGCTCAATCACTGGCTACTCCTGTTCAGTTGTGCCAGTCAAAAACCTGGGTCATTCTGGACTGGCTGGTTCACACCCCGCAGGTGGGCCATGAGCAAGTCCAGCGTGTTCTCCCTTCAGCGTGACCTGGAATTCCAAGTCTCAGCACCCTCACAGCAAGCCACCAGCCTCTTAACTGCTCCTTCTGCACCTGCCCTTGTACATTTCCAAACAGCGGCGAGTTTTCCTGTTGAAACAAATGTCCGAGTAATAGCCCAAGTCCTTGCTGAGACCTGGCTGACCCTCTCAACCCCTCTCCACCTCTGATCTCATTTGCTCCACTCCCCCTTGACTCACCTGTCCCGATGTACTGGTCTCCTTCCTGTTCCTCATACCCACCAGGTACAGGCCCATCTCAGGGCACTGGCCTCTGCCTGGCACGTTCTCCCCCCCAGATACTCAATGAACACTTTGTTCCTGGCCCACAGGTCTTTGCCCCTTTCTCAGGAGCCTTCCCTAGCCTCTGTGTTACAAAATCACACACCCACCAAATCAGCCAAACTCCCTGTGTTCTTAGGTTTCCCTTCTTGGCTGGTCTTTCCCTTGTGTGGTACATGGTTTCCTTCTTTATCATGTTTTCTCTCTGCCAATCACTTCATACTCTTTTCTACTTTCCTACTGTTTCTCATTAGACCTTCCTCTAATGTGCAGTATAATTTCCTTATTTGCAGGTTTCTGTCTTCCACTGAACTGTGAGCTCCACAAGCAGAGATTTTTTACTTTTACTGTATTTGTTTTGTGTCCCCAGCACCTAAAACAGTGTCTGGTTTCCAGAAGATTTTTGTTGATTGAGTTTTTGTTGATCGAATGAGTGGAAAAAAACCAAAAACAATGTGAAGTACCCTGTATAGGGTGGCTGGGATACAGCAGTCTCGAAACTGCTGATTATTTCCCCTATCTCATCTCCTAGTTATATTAAATCAAATGCTTGTGAATTAGACATTTTAAAATATGGTAGAGTAGCTCACTATTAAATGGATCTTCTCAGGCATCTTTTAATGAAGGAGAAGGGAATTCAGTGATTACCCTGTCCTTTTCTGCTTGTGAATCTAATTTTTCACATTTATCGGTGTCTTTACACTGCTCTCTCCATTTATTCATTCCTGTTTCCCAGAGGAGCTCATTACTGTGGCTTATAAGGGGTAGGTTAGCCTGGGTGAAGGTTTCAGTTAAGAAGGTTTGCCAGTCAATATGGACAAAGAGAGACATTGATCTTAAAGAACCCGATGAAACCTTTTGTATGTATGCAACAGTATGTGAGAATTTAATGCAAAAACTGTGCTGTAACCCACTCCCCTCCTGACTTTAAAAAGGGCCTGGGTGGTGTGCGCTCTGGAGTTTCTACATGGTCCTGCTCACCTGTAGCAGATGGGGAAGGTTAAATGGTACGTACAGTGGCTTTATGTTATGTGATCAAGCATGAATTCTCTAATCATGAAATGAAAAGCTCTTTGAAGTTCAGTGCTGATTCCTTTGGACTCCTCTCCCTCCAGTCCAGACTCCCCTCATACATGTGAGTTAAGAAGTATTCTGGTAAAACTCACAAAGAGGAATTGTCCAAGCTCCAAGCACTCTGTGTGTAGTGATTAGACACTTGGAGAGTTCAGAGTGGAAATGAGGTCTGAGTGCAGGAACTACCTTTTCTCCCCTCACTTCTTCGATTTATAGTGAGAGATCTCATGGCTACACATTCTAGGAGAATAAATGTGCAGTGTTTTCTTCCCTCTTACCTCTAAAGCAGGGGTGGGGAACCTTTTTTCTACCAAGGGCCATTTGGATATTTATAACGTCATTCATGGGCCATACAAAATGATCAACTTAAAAATGAGCCTGCTCTGTGTGGTCAAACATTTAATTAACTCACCCTTAATGTGAAGGCTAGAATGGCTTCTCTTTGGTGAGGCCTTGGCAGGGCCAGACCAAAAGATTTCCCTGGCTGTATACGGCCCGCAGGCCGGATGTTCCCCACCCCTGCTCTAAAGGCAGAATCCCTCTAGGAAAAGTAGCCTTGCTGGCCCATGGTCTACTTCTAAACACTCTCAGAGCAGGAGGCCAGTAGAAAACGGTACCTGAGCAGCCAGCGTGCAGTCTTCAGGCTTCGGAGACTGACTGCTGCAGCATCTTCCTCCCTGCAGCGCCCCTCCGGGGAAGGGGAAGGGGAAGGGGAAGGGGAAGGG